TGGTAGGGTGCTAACTTCGAGCTGAAGAGCTGAGGGACAATGCCGAGGCCCAGAGTTCAAGCCCCATGACCGACAAAAAAAAAAAAAAAGTCATAGGTCTTGGACATGGGTCCTGGGTGCTGTCCCTCAACTCTTCAGCTCAAGGCTAGCACCCTACCACTTTGAGCCACAGCGCCACTTCCAGTTTTCTGGTGGTTCATTGGAGAGAAAACTGTCTCATGGACTTTCCTGCCTGGACTGGCTTTGAACTGAGATCTTCAGATCTCAGCCTTCTGAGTAGCTAAGAATACAGGCGTGAGCCACCGATGCCTGCCCGGCTGAACATTGTTTTCTCCTGGTGCTGGCAATGGAACCCAACATCCCCCCCCCCCCCGTGGACTGCCACAGCCCTGCACCCTCATGGGGTGGAAGAGAGGGCCGGGAGCTCACCTGGCAGGAGTCAACTCTGCCCTCCAGGAAGCCTGCGCAGAGCATGCGGTCGGTGAGGGAGAAGTTGTAGAGGGAGCTGCAGACCTTCTGCTCGATGACGCCCACAGACGCCTTCTGCAGGACCTCGGGCTTTGTGGCTGTGGGGAGAGGACAGGCCCAGATCCCACCTGGCCACCAACCCAACCCGCAGTCAGCTCAGCCACGGCCTCCATCCTGCAGAGGAACAGACAGAGCTCGCGGAGCCCCAGGGACAGAGAAGCAGGCAGGTCCCTCCACACCTTGAGACATGGAGGAAGGTTCCCACTGTATAGCTCAGGCTAGTCTCAAACTTGTGATGCTGTGGCCTCAGCCGTGCCAGGATTATAGGTGCCTAATAATTTTCCCATAAAGGACCAAAAGGTAACCACTTTCAGCTTTCCAGGCTAGATAGTCACAGCCAACAATAGTCAATTGGCCACACTGGGAAACTTGTAAATGAACATGCAGGGGCCGTGTGCCAATAAAACTTTATTTACATAAACAGGAGAGGGGCCACATGTGGTCCTCTGGTATAAGGAGAGGTGAGTATCTCACAGATAGTAGGAGCAAAGTAAACAAGCCAGCACAGAGTTCCCCGTGTGGCTTGGCCAGGGCCTGGAGAACGACGCCCCGAGGCCCACTGAGGTCCCCCTACTCACCATTCCCTTCCTGCATGTTACCCCAGCCTGAGATCATGCACTTCCGGCCCACGGGGAACTTCTGGATGGCCAAGGGGAGGCAGACGGGCTGGATGTACTTGTTGAAGACCAGCGGCCTGGCCAGCTCCAGCAGGGCCACGTCGAAGTCCAGGATGCTGGGGTTGTAGCGGGGGTGCAGGACCACCCTCCGGAGCCCCAGCTTCACGGGGCTCCCGCCTGTGCCCAGCAGGGAGGCGGTGCCCAGGTGTGCCTGCACCTGCTCGGCTTTCGTGCTGTGGGGACAGGGCCACTGCCTTTTGGGGGGTCCCTGGGAGGGGGACCTGGGAGCTGAGCATGCCTCAGGGTAACAAAGTCCCTCCTGACTTTGTGGGTGTCACGAAGGAGCTCTTCCTGCTCCCCTCGCAGGGGACAATCCCCCTGTCCTGCCACTACAGACCCCATAGTGGGTGGTTTCTGGGCACATGAGGGTGTGCTGGGCAGGACCAGGGAGCAGGGTGGGGGGGTGCGTGCCTTCCTGTGGGGGGGCTTACTTGTTGAAGCAGTGGGCAGCAGATAGCAGCCAGCGGTCAGCTACCACGGTGGCTCCACAGAAGTGTCTGGAACCTTCCTTCAGACTGGCCTGCCAGGGCACCTCCCCAGGTACAGCCCCAAACCCACCCACGATCCTGATGGGCTTCTCCATCGCCGGCCTGGCCCCACACTCTGCAAGGGACAAGAGAGACCCTGGGGGGATCTTGGTCTGCCTCTGGGACTCCTGGCTTTGGGACAACAGAGTGCACGCGCGCGCACGCACACACACACACACACACACACACACACACACACGACTGATGCCCAATGTCCCCAATCCAGCGGGAGCAAGGGAGAGCTGGAGCAAGGGAGGCTTTGAAATTGTCAAGGTCACGTAGTCTACCCACAGGGTAGGTGCTGTGACTTAGTCTGATCCAGTCACCTTTGTGAACTCATCAAGGGTCCTCACACCAATAAGACAGTTGAGTTCTGAGGGATCTAGGGAATAACCTAAACCTAGTTAGGTTTTAGAATAGCCAATCCACTGGGAACTGCTATGCCTGCACACATGGCAGACATCAACAATCAATTGCTGACCTCTCCCACTTGACAGACACTAGCAGTTGATCACCAATTCGCTGAGTACTTTGGGACAGACATTAGTAATCGATCACCAATCTCTTCCCACTGAATTCACCAATCTCACTTCCAGCCAGGTACCAGTGGCCTCACACCTGTCATCCTAGCTACTCCGGAGGCTGAGATCTGAGGAGGCCAGCTAGGGCAGGAAACTCTGTCAGCCTCGTATCTCCTCTTATCTCCAATAAACTACTCAGAAAAAGCCGGAAGTGGTGCTGTGACTCCGCTAGCCTTGAGTATAACTAGTGCCAAGGCCCTGAGTTCAAAAGCACAAGGACAGACAAAAAAAAAAAAAAAAAGGCCACTCCCAGTCAATCCATCCTATCTTCCTGGCAAATACCTTGTGGCTTAGCTGCAGTGACAGAAGCCAGGGGCGCGGTGCTGGGGGCCAGGGTGGGCTTGGTGGAGGTGCCCACGGAGGGGCTCGCAGGGCTGGTGAGCCAGGTGGCACTGGAGGTGGTGGGGACAGGAGCCACTGTGGAGACTGGGGGCAGGCTGGCCATGTTGATCATCTCCAGGATCCAGTCCCGCAGCCTGGTGACCCGGGCATAGACCCCTGGACGCCGGGCTTCTGCACAGCCGATGCCCCAGCTCACGATGCCAGCTAGAAAGAACCTTCCAGAAGGCTCCTCACAGACCAAGGGGCCTCCAGAGTCACCCTAGGAAGCACAGGGTGCCTTCAGAATGGACAAGGCTCTCAGTTGGTGGCCAGTCCAACAACCAGAGTTGGAAAGCCCAAGACGAAGTTCAGGACCTCCAACTTCCAGCCTCCCTTTCTCAGCCTCCCTAGTAGCTAAGATTGCAGAGGTGAGCCAGTGGCACCCAGTTGGGCGGCTTTAAAAAAGAGTCTGTCCAGCCCGGCGCCGGTGGCTCACACCTGTCATCCTAGCTACTCAGGAGGCTGAGATCTGAGGATCACAGTTCAAAAGTCTGTCCATCTCCAAGTTGCTTGACACCTGGACAAGCTCATTTGAACTTTTTTTTTTCTTTTCTGGGCAAAGGGAACTTGGATGGGGCAGAAGCCTGGGGCGCTCACCTGGCAGGAGTCCACCTTCCCGTCTAGGTAACCAGCACACAGCATCCTGTCGGTGAGCGAGTGGCCATACAGGCTGGCACACAGGGCCTGGTCCAGAAGCTCTACCGTGGCTTTTTGCAGCACCTCTGGCTTGACCACTGTTGGAAATGGGGAAAGGATAGCATGGGGAGAGAGCTGGCGCCTTGAGGCGGAAGGACATCTTCTTTCCAAGCCTCAAGTTCCCCAGCTATAGATACGGCTGGTGACAGCACCCAGCTCAGGACCTGGCAAAAGGGGAACACACTGAACCCCACCCAGTGTGCTGAGAGGGGTCAAATTTAGCACTGAGACTTAGCTCCTCATCGCTCCCCACCCCAGATACGCCTGCTCTGCCCCTAGCTTCAGCCACCTCCTTCCAGTGCTCAGATTCCACACTCTAGCGTGCATCGAGGGGTTCAACTCTCTCTCTCTCTCTCTCTCTCTCTCGGTCATTCCTTGCCACTCAAATACCAACTACACCCAGAACTTATCCACCTCATGCCAGTGAGTGGCCATTGCTCATGGCCTGTGTCATTAATTACCCTTATTTCTTCCCTGCTCCCAGCACAGGCTACTGACATTTTCCCACCCAACGTTCAACCCAGTTAAGTCAACTCCAGCAATGGGGGCCTCTTCTTCTCACCTCAGGGCCTTTGCACATGCTGTTCTTGCTGCCTGGAACACTCATCCTTGCACACTCTGCCTGACTTTCTCCCTCGCGTCTCCCTGGGACACCTCACCTGACTTTTTAAAATGTGGCTCCCCAGCTTCCCCCATCCCTGCCTTGGACTCTTCTATGGAGTTTATGGCTTTTACCTCCTTCATGACCGACATCCCCCTCCCTGAATTGGACTATAGAAGCCACCGTCAACTTCATCCAAACAAAAGGTAAAACCCAGTTTCTCTGGGTTCCACGTTGGCTGCATTTCAGATGCTTCTGCGGCCACCGCGGGGTTTTTGTGGACATGGAGAACCTAGGACATTGCTGACATCACCGGGAGTTGTCAGTCAGTGGTGCTGGCTCAGAACATTCTAGAACTGTGTTTTCCAATGCAGCAGGGATGGCAATCTTTTGGGCAGAACTGGGGTTTGAATTTAGAGCTTTGTGCTGCCTAGGTTGCCACTTCCGGGCTTGAGCCCATTTAGCCACGCCCCACCACTTGAGCCACGCCCCACCACTTGAGCCACGCCCCACCACTTGAGCCACGCCCACCACTTGAGCCACGCCCCACCACTTGAGCCACGCCCCCAGGCCTTTTTCCTTTACTCTTCCAGCAGGGTCTCCAATTTTTCCAGTGGTCTTTGTACTCTGATTCTCCTACCTCCACTTCCCAAAGTAGCTAAGATCACAGGTCGGTGCACACACCACACTCCGGCTTAGGCTTGTTTTGGTCGGTTTGTGTTGTTTTTGTGCTGGGTCCTGGGTCTGAACTCAGGACCTGGGCGCTGTCCCTGAACTTTTGCGCTTAAGACTAGTGCTCTACCACTTGGGCCACAAGTGGAGCTGTGGACATAAAGCGTCTCACAGGGCTGGGAAGGTGGCTCGGTGGTAGAGTGCTTGCCTAGCATGCGTGAGGCCCTGGGTTCCATTCCTCAGGACCCCATACACAGAAAAGGCTGGAAGTGGCGCTGTGGCTCAAGGGGCAGAGCGCCAGCCTTGAGCAAAAGATGATCAGGGACAGCGCCCAGGCCCCGAGTTCAGTCCCCAGGACTGGACAAACGAAACAGAAAACAAACTTAAGCCTCCAAGTGTTAAAATTCCCGCTCAGGGGCCAGAAACGAACACCCGCGAGCGGATAAACCCCCAGTCCTCCAGGATCGATGCTGGGGTCACTGATTCCTAAACACCCCCCGCCGGAACGACACCCCCCCGGCCCCGCGCCCCGGAAGCGCTTACGGAAGTCCTCCTTGAGGTAGCCCCAGCCCGAGATGAGGCACTTGCGGCCGGGCGGGAAGACGTGCGCGGCGCCGGGCAGGCAGGCGGGCTGCACGTAGCGGCCGAAGCGCAGCGGCCGCGCCAGCCGCAGCACCGCCACGTCGAAGTCGGCCGTGTCCGCGTCGTACCGCGGGTGCGGGGTGATCTGGGCCACGCGCACCCGCACGGCGCCCGGCGCCGCCCCGCTCAGGTGCGTGGTGCCCGCCGACGCCACCCACTCCGCGGGGTCCTGGAATCTGCGGGCATCGAGGGGCGCTCAGGGGCGCGAGGCGGGGAGGGTGGCAGGCAGCCTCGCGAGGCGACGCCGCGGGTGCGTGCGGGCGCGTGTCCTGCATCGCGGGGGGACGTCATTGGAGGTAAGAGTCCCACGGACTTTCCTGCCGGGGCTGCCTTGAAACCGCCATCCTCGGGTCGCAGCCTGCCGCGCAGCTGGGATTACAGGCGTGAGCCCCCAGCGCAGGCTGCTCGTGTGCGTGTGTGTGTGCGTGCGTGCGTGTAAGTGTGCGTGTGCGTGCGTGTGTGACCATGAAACTTCAGATCAAGTAGGTTCAGAGGGAAAACAAACAGGAAGGAAGAAGGAAAGAAAGGCGGGAAGGAGATGAGGGGGACAGAAGAGGAGGGAAGAGGGGAAGGAAAAGAGGAAGGGCGAAGAAGAGGTGAGCGGAGAGGGGAGAGGAGGGAGCCAGGGGAGAAACGGGCTCTGAGGGAACGCGAGAAAAATCAGGTCCGTGGACCCAGGACGGAGGGGAAAAGATGGAAGGTGGGTGTGGCTGAGCAGCCGGTGTGGTCCCGCCCCTTCTGCCACTGGCTCCGCCCTAAAACGGCCCTGCACCCTCATTCGTTGAAGCAATGGGTCCTCCCAGGCCCAGCCCACCGTGGCCCCGCCCAGTCACCCTCACTCCTCCGCCCCTTAATGAAGCAATTGGTCCAGGCGTCGCTGCTGTAGGCCACGCCCTCACCCCGCCCCGCCCACTTCCCCTGAAGCAATTAGTCCAGGTCGCACCGCCCCTTCGTGGTCCCACTCTCACAGTGCACGACCTGTCACTTATGAAGCAATTGGTTCTCCAGGCCCCGCCCCTCGGGGCCCCGCCCCCTCATCGTCACCGCTGCCTCTGATTAAATTGATTGGTCCTCCCAGGCCCCCGCCCCTTGCGGCCCCGCCCTCACGCTGCCACGCCCCCCGCCCCGGGTTACGCCCCACTCACTCATTGAAGCAGTGGGCGGCAGACAGCAGCCAGGTGGGCCCGATGATGGTGGCCCCGCAGAAGTGCTCGTTGTTCTCCCGCAGGCTGACCTGCCAGGGGAACTCGCCGGGCGCCGCCTCCACGCCGCCCACGATCCTGCCCGCCGTCCTCCAGGCCGGCTGCAGCCCGCAGTCTGCAGGAAAGACACAGGGAAGCCTGGGGGTCGCAGGGCCCCTGCTCCACAAGAAAACGTCCTTTCAAATACCGCCCTGCGCTTCCCTATTGCAAGGACTGAAGTTGCTAGAAAACACGAGGGCTCCCTTTTCTTTTTTCTTCTTTGCAAGTACTAGGGATTTAACTCTGGGCTCAAAGCTTGAGGACTCTGCAATTTGTTTTTCAAGTCGTTCTGTGGGGGTTTTGCTGTTGTTGTTGTTTGTTTGTTGTGACTGCCGGAGCTGGCTTCAGATTGTGATCTTCCTACTTCCATCGCCCAAGAGGCTGAGATTACAGGCGTGCTCTGCCATGCTCCAGTTTGCTCTTTTTGGTTGTTGTTTTGTGTTGATTTCACTGTGTTTTGTTTTTGCAGGTACTGGGGCTTGAACTCCAGTCCAAGGTGCTAACCCTCAGTTTTCACTCAAGTCTGGCACACTACCACTTGAGCCACAGCTCCACTTTAAGCATTTTTTTTGTCGGTCGTGGAGCTTGAACTCTGGGCCTGGGCACTGTCCCTGAGCTCTTCAGCTCAAGGCAAGCGCTCTACTTCTTGAGCCACAAAGCCACTTCTGGTTTTCTGGTGGTTTATTGGAGATCAGAGTCTCACAGACTTTCCTGCCCTGGCTGGCTTTGAACCATGATCCTCAGATCACAGCTTCCTGAGGAACTAGGATTACAGGCCTGAGCCACCAGCATCCAGTGCTGGCTTGTTTTTGACATTATTAGATCTTGCTAACTTTTTGCCCTGAGTGACCTTGCATTTTCAATCCTCCCAAGAAGCTGGGTTTACAGGCATGCACCACTGTGCTTGGCCTTGAAAACTACATGTCCAGGCTTTTGTCTACGCTTGCTCAGATCCCTTTGGCAGCTCCCACACTACTTGGAGGAAAGATTTCCAGGTTTCCTAGGGTTTAGTCAGAACCCCCCTTTTCAGCCTGATCTCTCTCAATCCACTTGAGGACTGACCACTCCATACACCTGAGCTGTTGTTTATGTCTCTGCCAGGACCACCCTCCCTCTTCATCACCCGACTCCAGGAAACGCCAGGCCTCACAGCTGCACGTGGCGTGCAGAGCAGAGCCAGCTGACCCTGCAGGGGACACAGACTTGAGCCCAGGCAAGACTGACCGCAGTCCACCTCGTCGGATCCATCTGAGCAGTCCCTCCTGTCGTCACACTCTGGGTTGATCTTGGTCACACACTGGCTATTCTGGCAGGAAAAAGAATTCCCTGGGCAGTGGCCTGAGGGTAGAAGCAGCAGGGTCCTGAGCTCACTCCACTCCCCCCAGCCCCGCACCCACCCAGCTCTGGAACATTCTTGAATCTTTGAACAACAAGCAGTGGGGTTTTTGTTTGTTTGTGTTGTTTCTCTTTTTTCTTGTGCCAGGACCAGGGCTTGAACTCAGAGCCTCAAGCTCGTCTTTGTTTTTGGAGATGAGTCTCCCGGACTTTCCTGCCTGGGCTGGCTTTAAACCTTGATCCTTGGATCTCAGCCTCCTGAGATGCTTTTGTTCAAAATATCCAACACTTTAGCTGTAACTGTAGTACTAGCTACTCAAGAGGCTGAGATTTGAGGATCACAATTTGAAGCCAGCCTAGGCAGGAAAGTCTTGTGAGATTCTTAAGCCAGAAATACAGCTGTGGCTCAAGTGGTAGAGCATTAGCCTTGAGTGAAAAATACTCAGGGACAGTGTCCAGGCCCTGAGTTCAAGCCCCAGGACTGCCACCTCTCCCAACCACCCCCACCCACCGCAAAAAAAAAAAAAAAAAGCAAAAAGAGAACAAAACCCACCTGATTTGAAGTCTCTTCCGGTCACTGGCTCCCTGAGGCTGCCTGCAACAAAAGAGAAGTTGGGCTCGAGGTCTCCCTGTGGACAGCGCGCACACAAAGGACACAGCCACCAGCGGGCCTAGCTCAAGTCTCCTCAGCTGGAGCCCAAGAAAGGCTCTGACCCTTAGTCACACAGACAATGCAGATGAGGAACATTCCAGTGGACAGCATTGGGGCTGGAGTTCACTAAGACCTCAGCCAGTCTGGATAGGTAGCTCAAGCTGGTTTTGAACCCATAATCCTCCTGTCTCCACCGCCAGAGGGCTGAAGTTTCGTACCTGGCTCTACTTTTATTTCTATAGCAGGGAATGACTATGACAGTGGGCCAAATGTGGCCCTCCACTTGTTATTGTCAATAAAGTTTTATTGGCAAACAGCCACACGTATTCCTTCATGTATAGTCCTCCATGGAGGATGCATTCCAACACACCCAGCTGAAATTACAGATTGTACCACAGGCTGTATATGCCATGGTTTTTCAATATAAGCACAACCTTTCAGAAAGTTTAGTGCATACATTTTACACAGTAAGAAAATAACAATAATACCAGGCACTGGTGGCTCACGCCTATAATCTTAGCTATTCAGAGGCTGAGATCTGAGGATCGTGGTTCACAGCCAGCCCAAGGAGGAAAATCTGTAAGTCTCTTATCTCCAATTAACTATCAAAAAAAGTAGGAAGTGGAGCTGTGAGCTCAAATGACAGAGCTCCATCCTTGAGCAAAAGCTCAGGGACAGTGCCCAGGTCCCAAATTCAAGCCATATGGCACACACACACACACACCCAAACACAAACACACACACACACACACACAGCCTGCCCGGCACCAATGGCTAATACAGTCATCCAAGTTTCTCAGGAGGCTGAGATCTGAAGATCACAGTTCAAAGCCAGCCTGGGCAGGAAAGTCCATGAGACTCTTATCTCCAATTAACCACCAGAAAACCAAAGTGGCGCTGTGGCTCAAGTGGTAGAGTGCTAGCCTTGAATTGAAGAGCTGAGGGACAGCGCCCAGAGTTCAAGTCCCATCTCACACACACACACACACGGTTGAAGACACACATGTTGGCTATGTTTAATTTCCAGGAGAAGGGTGGTTCTTGAAAATCTGGTTTTCATTCAGATTTCAGTGGCTTCTCTCCCCTAAACCTCCCGGGAAGCTCTGCCCACTCACCTGTGAGCTCGGCCGATACAATGGTGCCATAGGCAGCCAAGGGGATGCCATGCTCCCGAAGCCTCGCCCAGATTCCCCGCTGTAAGAGGTTCTCCTCCAAGTCCAGGCTCAGTGGCCGCAGGGCTCGCAGCAGGAAGTGCAGCCGGAACCTCACCAAGACACTGGCGTTCCCATTCCTGTGGGTAAGAGGAGGGGACCTTGGAGAAGGCGGAGCTCCTCTCTGTTGTCATCTGCTAAAAATCTTCCAGAATCTTCTGGAATCTTCCAGAATCTTCCAGCAATTACAGATGACTACCAAGGTGCATCCATCCCATACTGAAGCCCCCTAGCTCACCTGTAACTGAGAACCGTGCAGCCCACACAGCTTGCTTCTAATTCGGTCTTCCGGAAGCTACCTACAAACTACAACAGAAGCAACAACAGCAAGGCGTGAGCAAGCATGGGAATCAGATAGGGGAGCGGAGTCCATGGAAAAACGTCACCCCCTAAAGCTCAGGACATGTTCTACCCACTTCACAGAGCCAGAAACAGGCAGGAAAAGAGCATTATGAAGCTATTGCTATAAAACTACTGCTGTGTGAATCAGTCATTCCTTGCATTTTTTGCATCTGATGAACTACTATGAATATTTCTGGGCAGATTTCGTGGACTTCTTTTGTTTTTCCCGTGCTGGGGATGGACTCCGGAGCCCTGCACACACTAAGCGTGCTGCAGCCTGGCGCAAGCTCGTGTGAGGATCGACACATTCATTTCTCCTGGGTGTAGAGCCAGGCAGGGCATTCGTCCTGCAGGAGCGGCAAATGCTTTGCAGCACAGTTCTGATTTTCCCACCAGAGTGAAATTCCAAACTTCTAGACATGACCTACACATCCTCCACTCTTCAAGCCACGGCCGCCGGACCTCCTCAGTCCTGCTGGATGACAGCCTCCCCCCAGCCTCCCTGCCTCCTCCTCACCAGTGTCTGCAGAGCACCGGTCAGCGCCTGGTGGTAGTCTGAGCTCTCACGCTGCAGGGCGCTGGTGTAGCGGATCCCCCGCAGCTCCACGCTGTGTTCCACGTGGACGGCCTGCGTGGAGAGGAAGGCTGGGGCGACACCACGGCTCTGTGAGATGCCCATGGTGGGCCACTGTGTCACCAGCGCTCCCAGAGTCCTCTGCCCCCCTCACCCCCTCCCACACCTCCCCAGCACAAGCAGGGTGGCCTGACTTCCCCCGGCCTGTGCTACATAAATGTTCCCAGAGTGTCTCTCAGCTCCTCAGAGTCCTTTCTAGAAGGACCCTAGGTGTGGCACAAGGCTGGTAAAGGTTGAGCAACCCCAGATGCCCCCATGGTCCTGCCTGGGGGCCTGGCCAGTGACCTGTGGCTGAAAGGTGTCAGGAGACCTTAGGGTATCACTTTGCATCCCAGCTGGCCCCGAACTCAAGATCCTCCTGCTTCCGCCTCCTGAGTGCCGGGATTACAGGTGTTTGCCACCGCATCTGCCAAAACGTGCACCTCCCACAGTGGAACTCATTGCCAAAGTGCGGATACCGAAAATAATGAGAAAAAAATTAACTATGAGTGGCGGAGGTGCCTTGTAGGCCCAGCTACTCAGGAGGCTGAGAAGGGACTGCTTGCGCTCGGGAATCGGAGCCAGCCTAGGTGACACAGGCAAGGTCCTGTGTCCAAAAACAAAGGAAAAAATACACATAATCATTTAAAAAATAAAGACAGCTCTGTGCGGTATTTTCACACACAAAAAAATAAAGACAGTAGCTACCACGTAATTTATGAAAGTTGAGTTTCGGTGGGGGAAATGTGGGATTCGTGGAAATTCACAGTAAACATGAAAAGACCATTGTTACACAATTAAAACAACGAAAAACGTCAGACGTGGCTGACACTGAAGGGGCTTGACTCCCAAGTGGGCGCCTAGGGGGCGTGGCCGAGGAAGAGGGGTGTGGCTCAAACGACAGGGCGTGGCCTAGGGGTTGGGGCGTGGCTCCACCGGAGGGGCGGGGCCTGACCATAAAACATTACTCAAACATTGGGGGCGTGGCTTAGCTGGGGGTGTTTCCTTGGGGCGTGGCTTGGAGCGGTGGGGCGTGGTTCAGGTCGCTTGGTTCAACTGGAAGGAGAGGGGCTCTGGCTGGGGGTGGGCGTGACCATGTGTGGGCGTGGCTCTGGCCGATGGGCGTGGTTAGAGAGACGGGGCGTGGCTGGGCGGCCGAGGACCTGCCAGTTCTACACTCGCTGTCTTTCCTCGCTCAGGGAGGTAGAGATGAGAAGCCCCGGGAGTGAGCACCGCATGGCCGATGCTCTGAGTGCTCTGGGCCCTGACACGTCCTTCCAGGCGTCACACTGAAATAACTGCAGACTTGCCGGAAGCTGCAGAAGTGATGTTCAATATTTCTGAAGCTTTTCTGGGTCCTCACGGGCGGGGCGGGGAGGTGTCCTGCTGAGGGATTTTATTTACCCGCTGCTCCTAAAACGCCCCTGAGTGTCTACAGTTCGCAGGTGAGACTCTGCCCCGCCCTTCACCCGCCTCGCTTCACTAACGCAAGAACGCACATGCGCACGCCCTAACCCACCCTTTCCTGCGCTTCTCATCAACGCCACTAGAGGGCGACGGACAACAGCGCCGGGTCTCCAGAGGCGCTGCAGGCCAATTAATGGACTCATGAAAGAGAACTTCCTGATTGCCAGTGTTCATCCTCTTATGGAGGAAAGATGATTTTATTATTTACGTTGCCTGGCAAGGAACCCACGGTCTCACTCACGCTAGGCTATCACCACTGAGCCACACCCAGCCCAATGAAACTGGTGTGTGTGTGTGTGTGTGAGTTCTGGGACTTGAACTCACAGCCTAGGCCCTGTCTCTGAGCTTCTGGGCTCAAGGCTGGTGCTCTACCACGTGAGCCACAGAGCCACTACTGACCTTTTGGTGCTTAAAACTGGAGATAAGCATCTCATAGACTTTCCTGTCCAGCCTGGCTTCTATTGATCCTCTGATCTCAGCTACCCGAGTAGCAGGGATTATAGACATGAGCCACGAGCCCGGTTCCCAATTAAACTGACTTTAACATCTGCAGGTAGCAGCTGGGGGAGACTGATATCTCAGAACTGAGATGCCTCGGCTCTCCAGCAGAGCTTTCAGTGGCCACAGAATGTTCTAGATCTGTGCTGTCCGATGACAGTAGCCAGGAGTTACTCGCAGTGTCCCAGGCGGGGGATCGACCCAGAGTGCTACACAGTTAGCTCCTGGCCACTTACCCAGCAGGACTCCCAGGGAGAGGACGGCCATGCTGGTGGCCACCAGTGCGACCACCGCGACTCGGCAGCACACTGAGTCGGGGGCTGGGATTCCCTTGGTCGCCTCCGGCACCAGCTGAAGGTCTGCTGTGGTGGCCTCCATGGCCCAGGGACACAGGACAGCGATCTAGAAGCCAGTGACAAAGGGACAAAAAATGAGCTCAGAGAGCTCATTCTCCCGAGCAAGGCTTGGACTCCATCCTCAGTGCTCTTTCTCCAAGGGCTGGAATGTCCAGACCTTCTACCCATCACCGTTAGAAAGAATATATGCTGAACACCAGTGCTCACACCTGTAATCCTAGCTACTCAGGAAGGTGAGATCTGAGGATCAAAGTTCAAAGCCAGCCTGGGCAGGAAAGTCTGTGAGACTCTTATTTCTAATGAACCAGCAAAAAGCCAGAGGTGGCGCTGTGGCTCAAGGGGTAGAAGCGGCAGCCTTGGATGAAAAAGCTTAGGGGCAGCACCCAGGTCCTGAGTTCAAGCACCAGCCGGGGACACGGACACACACACACACACACACACACACACACACACACACACAATTTCTCCCATATCCAAATGCTTCTGAGCATGCTGTGGTTCGCTAGTTCATGCTGGCAGTTCGATCCTGAGGCTCAGCCCAAGTGTCTCCAATCCACAGGGAGCCACATCCCCACCACCGAGGCAGAGCTGAGGGAAAAGGGGAGGGGGAACGTGAGGTGGGGAGCTGGGCGGTCCCAACACTGACCCCTTTATTCTCACAGGGGAGCTGGATCACCTTCTGAGGAGCCAGGGTAAATCTCTAAGAATCATTCAATGACAGATCTTCATGACAATAAGCCTGGAAGATTGGTTCTGTGCTGGGGAGCTGGAAATGGCCGCCGCCACATGGCGCAGGGCGCACACACTGGGGCATTCAGCCCTGGCCCCTGGGCTTGTAAGGAACCCTGTGTTCTCCAAATCGTTCTGTCATCGCCGCCCTCCCAAGCCCACAAAAGGGAGCTCTGCTGTGGTCGAGCAGAAAATAGAGAAGGATTATTCATCCGCTTCTCAGCATCTGAGAGTTGCCTGGGTGGGGCTTGTGCAGGGTGCCCAGACGCAAGGCCGACGCATAGCGATTCTCTGAGCTCTGGCCTTTCTTCTTTTAGTTTTATTCTTGAAATACGGTCTCATTCCCCCCCCCCCCAACTCCCACAGCCAGCCTAGACCACGATCCTCTTATTGACACTTCTTGGTATAGCTGCGATGACAGGTGTGTATCACCATGCCGGGTTATTTTTTCTTTTCTTTCTTTTTTGGTCAATCTTATGGGCTTGAACTCAGGGCCCAGGCGCTTGTCCCTGAGCTTTTCTGCTCAAGACTAGCCCTGTACCACTTTGAGCCACAGCTCCACTTTAGGTTTTCTTTAGGTTCATCGGTGATGAGATCCTCATGGACTTTTTTTTCCTCCAGCTGTCTACAAACCGCGATCCTCAGATCTTAGCCTCCTGAGTAGCTAGGAATGACAGGCGTGACCACCATTGTCTGGCTCTGGCTTTTTTTTCTGTTGAGATGGGGGTCATACCATTCTGTAAGTTGGTTAAGATCACAATTCAGCAGCTGAGGACCACACATCTTGGTTACCTAATGGTTTCCATAGTCAGCTCTACAGAACGATAACAAAGACTCGACAGGAGGAACTTCACAAACATGAAAGGTGTGGGCGCGTGGATTTCCTGGGCTGTGAATGTCCACAGTGATCGTTCATGGGCTGTAGCCGCCGATGCCCTGACTCTTAGCCAGCAAAGTATGGGTCTCAGGCTAAACCTAGCAGGAACATTTTTAATGTATGTACCGGTCCTGGGGATTGAGCTCCGTGCCTGAGCTCTGTTCCTTAGCTTTTTGGCTTCTTGTTCAAGGCTGGCATTCCATCATTTGGGCCACAACTCCACTTTTAGCTTTTTTTTGGCGATTAATTGGAGAAGAGAATCTCACAGACTTTCCTTCCCCGGGCTGGCTTTGAACCATGATCCTCAGATCTCAGCCTCCGGAGTAGCTAAGATTAAGAACCATTGGCCCCTGGCTTAGTGTGACACTTCTTTTGTATTTTTTGGGGTGTGTGTGTACAATCGTGCTCACCTTTCTACCTTTCTTTCTTTCTTTAATTCTTCCTTCCTTTCTTTCTTTCTTTCTTTCTTTCTTTCTTTCTTTCTTTCTTTCTTTCTTTCTTTCTTTCTCTTTCTTTCTTTCTTTCTTTCTCTCGTGGGGCTTGAACTCTGGGCCTGGGCACTGTCCCTCAGTTCTTCAGCTCAAGGTGAGCAGTCTACCACTTGAGCCACAGCGCCACTTCCGGTTTTCTGGTGGTTATTTGGAGATAAGAATCTCATGGACTTTCCTGTCCAGGTTGGCTTTGAAATGTGATCCTCAGCTCTCAGCTTCCTGAGTAGCTAGGATGACAGGCGTGAGCCACCGGGCGCCTGGCCTCCATGAAACTCTTATATCCATTAACCACCAAAAAGCCAGAAGTTGAGCTGGGGCTCAAAGGGCAGCTGAGGCCTCAGGACTGGCAGAATGACAAAACAAAGAAAAGGCATTGGTGGAGAAGGAGGAAGGGAGGGAGAGAGAAATAAGAGAGGCAGTAAGAAGAGGCAGGAGGTCACTGGGAAGCTAAAAAGCCACGAAGCCCACAGACACCCAGCGTGGGACACTCCTGGACCATTTCCATCTAGAAAGACCCAGAATGTGAGGTGCCAGGTGTGGTTATCTGTGACCAAGCAGGACAGGTGGGAAGGAGCCCAGAGACGCCATCCATCCACCTGAGGCGACCCTGCTCCCCAGGTCTCAGCCAGCTCCTGCCAGACACACACCCCTACCCCTGCCCCGGCTTGCCCTGGCCTGGCCTGGCATCGTATGCCAGCAGCTGGCAGGCCTGGTGGGGGGCAGGCAGAAATCAGCCTGGGATATTTTCCTTAGAACTAAGCCATGCTCAGAGAGAGCCAAAACCATTTATCTGCCTGGGTCTCTTTCTGGGTGCTTGCCTGGAAATGGCCTGAGTTTTCTTTTCTTTTCTTTTTGCTGGGGACCTGGGGCAGGCTGGATGTCAGCTCCAAAGGATAACCAATGTTTAAGTGTGAAGAACCTGGGGAAGGGGCCACAAGCCAAGGGATGCAGGGCCGCCACAAGAGAGGCAGGGCAGGGGGGACCTGGAGCCTCCCTGGGGCCTGGGAGGGAGCAGTCCTGCCCCAGCTGGGTTTTAGCTCATGGAAGGCCGTCCTGTCACAGCAGCAACAGGGAGCTGAGATATTCTGCACTTTATTGCTGCCTCCCCAGGCAGGTGGAAGGAATGCCCAGCAGGGCTGTCCTCACGCACCATGCCCGGGAAGGAACCTAACTCTGCAGGCCTCAGTTTCACCCAAAGACATGACTAGCTTGATCCTATAAGTTCTAATTTGTTATGGGACATAGGCTAGCAAAATCATTTCCCCATGCCTGGCATCTTGTGTCTAGAGGAAAGACTACTCCAATAGCTCCTCTTGCAGTGGAATGGCCAATCACAGAACCACACTCACTTTACTGACAGGCATGCCAAGTACAGGACATCCCTTCAGTCCTCACTAGAGATTCGTCCTCACTGAAGTCAGGTCTACCAATCACAGTACATGCTCCTCCCTCCCCATTAGGAATTGGTCTACTCTAGACATAGGCCTTCCAATCACTACACATTCTATCAGGGATCAATCCATACTGGACATAGGCCTGCCAGTCATATTACTCATTCATCCCTCAGCTTCAGTGATTGGTGCACATTGAACAAAGATCTATCTACCAATCACAGTACCCAGTCTTCCTTTTCCAGTAGGGATTGGTCAACTCTAGACATAGACCTGCTAATCACACTACCCTGTCCTCCCTCCCCATCAGTGATTGGTCCACACTAGACACAGGCCTGCCAATCACAACCACCAAAGGACCCATGGCTGAGTCCATTGATAGAAAATGGCTGCAACAGGCAAATCCACCCAGATAGGAAGTGGTCTTTGGGGGTGGGGTAACTGGAGGAGAAGTTGAGGAGAAGGACCATGGGGACTCACACCTGACAGTGTCAATGTGTGCTCAATTGGATGAGTTTTAAAAGTGATCAGGCAGCTGGGTGCCGGTGGCTCACGCCTGTCATCTCAGCAACTCAGGAGGTTGAGATCTGCGGATCACAGTTCAAAGCCAGCCCAGGCAGGAAAGTCTGAGAGATTCTCCAATGAACCACCAGAAAACCAGAAGTGGCGCTGTGGCTCAAGTGGTCGAACACTAGCCTTGGACACAAAGAGGCTCAGGGGCAGTGCCTAGGCCCTGAGTTCAAGCCCCACAACTGACAAAAAAAAAACATAAATAAATAAATAAAAATGATATACGCAGCTAGGTGTCAGTGGCTCATGCCTGTCAGCCCAGCTACTCAGGAAGCCGAGATCATGGTTCAAAGCCAGCCCAGGCAGGGAAGTGGAACGTCCATGAGACTCTCCCTCTCTCTCTCTGTAGTGAATATTATGGAATACTGACATAGTCTGCTATTGAACACTGACATGGTAGGTTACTGACTAAGAATCTGCTGAGTGTACGTGTGCTGTGAAACTAGGAAACATTGATCTGTACATGTAGGAGTTAGAACTATGAAGTGTAGCGATGACGACACACCCAGGGAGCCTACAGGACCGTCCCCAAGACAACCAGCCCACCAGATAACCAGGCTCAGACAGAAGCAAGGCAGCCCCGCCCTCATCGATAACTAGACAGGACCAGAAGTGAAGCGCGCACCAGGCCCGCCACTGATAAGCGGATATCGCCAGAAGTGCAGAGGCCCAGCCTAAAACACAGAAAAACCCAGGGCACGCAGAGCCGGAAGGCCTCCTGGAGCGAGGTGACTCCATGTCGGACCGACCTTCTCCCGGAGCACCTCAGCAAGGTGGCCGGGGCCCCCTCGGAGCAGCCCGGAGGAGGTGCTTGAACTCTGGGCCTGGGCGCCGTCCCCGGGCTCTTTTGCTCAAGGCTAGCCCTCTACCCCTTGAGTCACAGCACCATTTCCAGTTTTCCGGTGGCTAGTTGGAGATAAGAGTCTCTCAGACTTTCCTGCCCAGGCTGGCTTCGAACTGTGAT